TCATTTTAATAATGAATAAAATTTTAAAAATAAATTAAGGTTTTCAGAAAATTCCCTTAATTTTTTTAATTAAGTATTTCAATAATTAATTATTATAAGTTTTACTGTAAATTTTAAATAAATAAAAATGTTTGCATATTTTTTACATATTTTCATGATTTTGACTGCATATTTTTTACATATTTTCATGATTTTAGCTGCATATTATATGGCATAATTTGATACTTATAAGTGCATAAAACCCGCGCTCTAATTATGACATATTTATTTCTTAACATATAATTATCTTATAGGTATCACAAAAAAATAATCCCATCTGAGATTTGCAAAATCAAAAAATATATATATGATCATCAAAAATTAAAATTAATCTTAATTTTAGTGTCATATAATTGTGTATAATAAAATGTATAACATACATACAATCATTGTCCCTACAAATAATGTTAACTAAATTAAAATACATCTAATTTTTTTTTACATATAACCTATTAATGTAATTTGATCTTAAATATTATATCATACATACACTTGCCATAATTGAAAAATTCATTATTTTATGTATTTTTGACATTGTAATACAAATGTATTATTAGATAGGTACACCATAAGCACCATTTTTATTATAGGGTTATTTTTCTGGGGACTAATTTTCCAGGRTTATTTATTAGAAAAATCATCCTATAGTATAGTTATTGTTACTTTAGTGTGTGTTTGAGCTTTTATGAGCTATATACAATTAAAAATAATTTATAATTCATTTAAATTTCTCAACTACTATTACATTCCTTAGGACCATGATCTTAAAGCCTCTCTGATTATTAATAGTAGTATTTTTTTTTTAAATTAATGAATGTAACTTATTCTGAATTTTAGTTTCCAAAATTGTTTTCGTTTGGGGTTGCAACAAAAACTGGTCCAAATGAAAAAATATTAGATAATTCACGCATGTCATTAACTTTGATTGGTTATGGGAAAACACCTGACAAGCCTCCTACTGCTATTCTTAACGAAATAAAACCTAATGACAATGCTTCCACAAGAAAAATTATTATTAAGGTAATTTTTATTAATTCTAATTTTGTGTATGTTGTTAAATATATATATTATATATATATATATGTATATATTTATGGACCTACCTTTGAAACTATTTTTTATATATTTTATATAGGTTAAAGCTAAAAACCCAGGTTATGGATTCACTAGTAAATCAGTTATCTTAGGAGCAATAACTATAATAAAAGATCAAATTAATATTCCAAAAGGGTATACAATTTTATTTAATAATAATAAAGTTTGAAATATTAAAATATTATTTTKTATAGAGGAGTTTTAACGCCAGCAGCTGCATTTCGTAATACTCAATTTGTGAGTCGTTTAATGGATCATGATGCTGCTGTTTTTGAAATTGAGTCAGACTTGGTTACCTACAGACAACACTCAAAATTTATTTAAATTTATTCTGTCATGGTTCTCATTAATGGTGTTAAAATTTACTTATTTTCTTATATATGAATATTTATCTTTTAAGTATTAAGTAACTATTTTTTTAAAGAAGTTACTATGAATAAAATTAGGCTTTAGTTATGCTATGTTARTGATCATAGTATATTTTATATTATACAAAAACTGTTTAAAAGATAACATACAGTTAGTGCTCTATTCATGTAGGACTGTATAATTATCATAATTGATTGATGTCTTGTTACAAAACTATACAAACAATATACAAACTGCTTTACTAATTGGTTAAAATATATACACATGTAAAATTAAACTATGTTTCCATATTTCATAGCTTTTTTATATTGAGTAAGTAATAACTGATATATTTTGTGAATAAAACAAAATTACTACATTACCATTTAAATTTTAATCATTCAATTATAAGCGATAAGTAGTTATCAAACACTGATCTACTGTTGGATTGTTAATATTAAAGTTATTTTATGATTGAATTTATTGATATCTAGTATTTTTAAAACTAATAAATATTAGTGATGTATATTATGTATATATTTTGATTTAATTAACATGGAATTTATACCAAAATTGTTTCAGTTGTTTTTGCTGAAAAAACTATTTTAAAAATATTGGATAATTCATGCAAATCATCTTAACATTGATTAGTCATAAAACAATATATTATGCAAAGTGTTTACTGAAATCTTACATATTGTTTTTCAATATGTTGGGACACGCAGTTTTTTCCCTAGTTTAAACATGATTATATGTAGAAAGATGATTAATTTTGGGAGTTATAATGCTACAATGCTACATTGAAAAGACTAAGTGTGTAACAGCCTTTAAAAAGTGCAACGGCAAATATTTAGGAAGTAAGACAACGATAATATTGCATTAAAATATACTATTATAAGGTATTTATTGATTACATATTTACTATAACTACATTGACCCTACTTTGAAATTGTTACATGTTTATAGGTTAACCGTAAAATATGCTGCTATAGATTATATTTCCAAGCAATGCTGTTATTTTGGGACTAATGATTATGGTAAAAGACGATATTCCCAACAGGTATAACATTTTATTAAAAAATATTATTTTGTATAAGGACTTCTTAATGCTGACTGCTGCATTTCATTTTCCTCAATTTTTATATAGTTGATTTGATAGTTTTGTGGTTTTGAGTTTGAATAAGACTTAATTACTTACTTGAAGACTTCAATCAAAATTAATTAAATTAATTGGAAACTTCTTAAAAAGTTTTATTCTTCGGATGGTTGAGGAGTAGCATCTCTCATGCTTTCTGCTGATGTTTTAAAAGAAAAAACTCAATAAGTTTATAGTGAATCAAAATACACTATTAAAAGGTCATTTTTATCAACATTTATTGTTTACATATTTACAGTAACTATATTCACCCTACTTAGAAATTGTTTTATATTTATATGTTAACCACAAAATACATGGTTATACATTTATAAACATTGCTGTTATCTTGAAATAAATATTTACTATAAAAGATGATATTCATATTTCCAAAAAGTGTAACATTTTATTTAAAAAATAATATATTTAAAAATATTATGCCGTACAAAGATGTTTTATGTATTACTAATCACTGAGTTGTTGATTGAAAAATTGTTCGGTTTTAGATTTTGTTTAAGACATGGTCATCTATTTACTATAATCAAAATTCAAAATTTAAATATGCTTAAATTATAATGCTGGATGCTGTAGTCTGTAATCCTCAAGTTTTAAATCTTAGAAATTGATGATGATGTTGTGGCATTTAMATTTGATATTGGTTTGGTTACTTATAATTAGGGTTTGGGACTTCTTGCATTTGCATGTTTTTTTGTATTGGTTCGTAGATTATTCTAGGCAAATTATAAATTTGTTTTATGAAATGACGAAATTAAATACAAATTTTGAATTTGCATATTTTTTGCATATTTCATCATATTTTAAGAAAAAGCGCATAATTGAGCAATTTTTAGCATATTTCACATTTTTATAAATGTAAAATTGTGGGGAAAAAATCATAATTGAATCTTGAATGGTCGTAGTTTGTCATATCTAACATACATACGTCTGTTTGTCTCTTTATTATTTAATAATCAACCTTTTTATGGACAATATCGACAATTGTATAGCTGTGGTAAAACTTAATGAATCCTATACTACAGGCTTATATGTCCCAACCTAATTTTTCGATTTTTATTTTTATAATTATAATTAATAATATACTCGATGCGTTTTTTAAATACAAAATAAAAAATTTGCTACAAATTTTGATCATTTTAACTGCATATTTCGATAATTTTTAGTGTAACAAGTCCCGAACCCTACTTATAATCTACAGATAATAATCAATATTAATTTTAATTTCTTGTTATCTCTTTAGCTTTTAGTCTTGTCTAACATGTTTTCATTACAGTTTTTAAGATAACAAAAAAAAAGAGTGTCTTTATATTGTCTGAATTTTAAAAAAGTTCTACATGTACAAGTTGTTAAAACAAAACCATTTTTTAGTCATCACCATATAGAATTGAGTAATTTTTGCTATTGTCATAAAACAAATATTATCTAGAAAATCTATAATAAACTCATATTATTATTTTAATTGTAGTGTATTTTACAGTATTCAATTTAAATTAAATTTTTCGACATCTTAACAAATTAAAATAATCATAAGTATTTTTATTCTTTTATTGCTAATAATTTATAATTTTACTGTAAATTTATTTTTTATTTTTATATTCCTTTAATTTTTCTAAAATTTAATTTTTCTTTTTAAGTATAGTCTGGGAAACATTAAAGTCAAATCTGCTGCATATCATAGATATAGTGGTATACTTGGAATAGGATTTACATATTTTAGAATATTATTATAGTGTGAGCAGTAAAGACAATAGTTTTTATTAAGTAATTAAGATTTATACATTTTTCAACAAATCCATCTACACAAAATGTTAAATAATGTTAAGATCAATCTTCCAAGAAATTTTATTTCTTTTTAATTATTCGAAGAAGTTAGAAAAGTTCAATCTGCGAGTACCTAAATTCTCAACTTCTTAACTTATTTTAATATAGCACAATAAATTATGATTCMATAAAAGCTTATGTACAGAACATAACTATAGGCAATAAATAAATACAAATCATCAATAATTGTAACTATTTTATCGCAAATAATAAAAAACAAATTCATCAACACTTATCATCAACAATCGTAGATAACATGCAAGACTGTCAGAAGGGGTGAAAAACTGAGTACTGAATACTCGCAAATGGTCTTACGCTTTATTGAGCGAYGAATGTACCTATTATTATTATTATAATTTTGCTAGTATATACGAGGTTGTTTTTTTATTGTATCTAAACCTTTGACCTTAATAAGGTTAGGTTAGGTTACTATGTTCCGTCTATGATCTGAAGCTGAACTAATTATGTAACATGTTGATTACTAATATTGCTTTGCATCTTATCAAAATTTCTAGTTTTTGATCAAACCTATAATCCATAATTCCGAATGTCAATTAACAGAAAGATCAAAGAAAATAATAATTATAGGCATAATACTGTCTTGATAAATAATAATTTTGAATTATTTGGCAATCATAGTTTTGCCCAAATCTTAAGCCTAAAGCGTCATTCCTACAATTTTTTTTTTTTTGTAATCAAGTTAATATTAATAAGAAGAATTTATGAAAATAATTAAAACTGTAGTAGACAATCACGTAATTAATTATTGTTATAGTTATTTTAATTGTTTTATGCTTTATTATGAACTAAATGAAGTTTGTTAATTATATTTATTAATAATAATTAAGAGGTAAGACCAGTAGACTATCCAATAGGCACTGATATTTTCAATGATGTTATACATGAAATATTTCAAATAACGATGTCTAATGCTAAATTCTGTAGTTATGTTTATTATATTAATAATTAATCTAATATTTATTTATGATACAACCATAGACTATATGCTATATAGTATATATATAACCATATGTATATAGTATATACTATAACCATATGCTAGACCAATTGTTTTCACTAGTTCATAAGACCATAACTATTTGTTATGAAATATATGAAATATATGTCTTATGAAAATAACTATGTTAAAATTAAAAATATACATTTTATAAATAGCTCAAAACTAATCGAAATATTTGGATTGTTTTATTGTGATTTTATCATGTATAGAAAATATTAAACAGAAGGTAATTAAAAATGTCAAGTATCTATAAACATTCATTGATAATTTTATGTATGTGTTGTATACGGTCATTATTTTTAGAGTTACGCCAAAAATCTAAGTAGAATCTGTCGAAAACTAGATTTGCGTAAAAATCTAAATTTTCTTTTATTTGTTTCTTGTATTTCCCGTCGCCTTTGAAAACGTTTGATAGTTCTTACTCTTTACACCCTATAGTATTAAAAAAATTCMGTTACAGAAAATCAAGGCTTATATATATAAATAAGCCTCTAAACCTTGCAACCTAACCAAAACTCAAATAAACCTGAATATTGTTGTCTATCTTATGATATTATTATAGATTATTATCTTCTTTTTATTTATTTCTAGTGGTTAGTTCCCACAATAAAATCCTATAAATCCATTAATTAAATCTGACGATGTCACACCCGTATTTGTTGTCTCAATCTTAAAAACGCGTAGCATAAAAAATTTACGCTCGGCATGCAGTACACGTTTTACTCCGTTTGCTTAAAAATTAAAGTAAATAGACCTATAATGAAACTCGGTGGTAAGAACATTATCTATGTTATGTTGGAAGTGTTTTTACGAATTTACGATAATTCAGTTTTTAAGTGAAAGTTATGCGCGTATAATAAATTGTAAAATAAAAATACTCATAACTCATTTGAAAACTGAATTATCGTAAAAATACTTCCAAAAATCACAGATAATGCTCTTACCATCAAGTTTCATAAGTCTATTCACTCTAGTTTTTAAGCTAACGGAGTAAAATGTTAGCTGCCGATCGTAAATTTGCCATGTTAGGTACCTACGCGTTTGTAAGACTGAGACAATAAATACGGTATACGGATGTTGCTCCCTCTTAGCCAAATAGCCTATAGAATCAATATAATAGAATTAGATTATTCCTTATAATATTATATATATATGTAATTAATTACCTTATGAGTAGGTACCTGCTGTCTATATAATATATGCAATAATGAATAAATCCAAATATGATATTAATATAATATAATTATATTACCTATATTATATTCAATCAATATAAAATATTAAAGACAGAGTCTCAAATCTTAATATAACCAGAC